GTGTGTATGCCCAGAAGTGGGATTGCTGGGTCATATGGCAGTTCTATTTCCAGCTTTTTAAGGAATCTCCACACTGTTTTCCATAGTGGCTGTACTAATTTGCATTCCCACCAACAGTGTAAGAGGGTTCCCTTTTCTCCACACCCTCTCCAGCATTTATTGCTTGTAGACTTTTGGATAGCAGCCATCTTGACTGGCGTGTAATGGTACCTCATTGTGGTTTTGATTTGCATTTCTCTGATAATGAGTGATGTTGAGCATCTTTTCATGTGTTTTTTTGCCATCTGTATGTCTTCCTTGGAGAAATGGCTGTTTAGTTCTTTGGCCCATTTTTTGATTGGGTCATTTATTTTTCTGGAGTTGAGCTGGAGGAGTTGCTTGTATATTTTTGAGATTAATCCTTTGTCTGTTGCTTCGTTTGCTATTATTTTCTCCCAATCTGAGGGCTGTCTTTTCACCTTGCTTATAGTTTTCTTTGTTGTGCAAAAGCTTTTAAGTTTCATTAGGTCCCATTTGTTTATTTTTGCTTTTGTTTCTAAAATTCTGGGATATCACATCCTATCTTAAGCCACGTAAGATTGATGAGCTCACAGCCTGTACCTGTGTGTATACTCCTGTCTCTGCCTAGGACACCCTGCTGTCTCATTTCCACACATCTGGCACTCATTATTTAACACCCAACTCTTAATCTACATCTTCTACAACACTTTCCTGGGACCCAGGGAGACTTAGATTTTCACATAGTTCTGTAGACGGGATATCTTTATTCGTCTTACATATTTTTTTCATCTGTCTGCCTTTGAAGCCTATATTCTTGGTTGTCCCAGATTTCTGGTACCTGGGGCAATCAATTATGAAAGTGAAAGTGAAAGTTGCTCAGTCATGTCTGACTCTTTGCGACCCCATGGGCTATATATGTCCATGGAATTCTCCATGCCAGAATACTGGAGTGGGTAGCCATTCCCTTCTCCAGGGGATCTTCTCAACCCAGGGATCAAACCCAGGTCTCCCACATTGTAGGCAGATTCTTTACCAGCTGAGCCACAGAGAAGCCCAAGAATACTGGAGTGGGTAGCCTATCCCTTCTCCAGTGGATCTTTCTGACCCAGGAATCAAACTGGTGTCTCCTGCATTGCAGGCAGATTCTCTACCAACTGAGCTATCAGGAAAGCCCACAATCAATCATAGCAGTGCTCAGTAAATGACTGTGAGGACGCAGGGCTGTGGCAACAGGCATATTCAAGTCAGAAGAAGCTTCTACAAGTCTCTTTATTTAAGTCTACAAATAAGGGCATTTCCATCCTACATACCTGCTTTATCAGTAAGCTGAAACTGTCTTATCAATAAGATAGTATACATGTGTGTATGTGTGTCTGGAAAATACTTTCATGCAATTGTGTGCTAGTACATATTTTACAACAGGGTTCATGGAGAAAAGGGCCCTGATTGTAACATTTACCAATTTCTGTGGTGTAAATACTTGCATCATGGCTGATGTCAAGCTGTTATTGGAATATCACTGACTACACAGTAGGACGAGATCATAATTGGTTCTCAAAAGCCAGTACAAACTGGCTCTAACATGTGTTGGAGTACTCCTTTCATAAGTCATAAATAAAACATCTATTGAAAACTGGAAAGCCATGTTTGGAAATTCATGTATCCTGGGCATATCTTGAGCTGTACTTTGTAAAATGTCTCATGTATAGAGACCATTTCCTTTTTATTTAGCATATGGACAGATTTCAAGAATTGAAAGAGTTGGCAGGTATAGGTAGTTGAACACAGAAGGTGAACTCAGATATGATCACAGGTGTTGGAAAGACAGTGCTACATGGACAGAGACAGGAAGTAGGTGGGGAAGCTGGATGGGATGAGGGTGTCCCTTTGCTTGAGGATCTATCCTACTTGAAGAGCTAAGGATAAGGTATTGAAGAGAAAATCAGAAACTGTGTCCAGAAACAGAAAATCACCTATAGAAGTCAGAGAGGTCACACCACAGAATCATCTCTGGAAGGTAAATGTAGTGATAAAAATCAAAGGGTCAAATACTGAGCATTTTGAAGATTTGGAAGAAGACAAACCAATATAAAACACACAGTCAGGTAAATAGGGAAAATAAAAAACACCAAGGAATATCCTGAAGGAGAATGATGAAAGTGGATGAAATGGCCAAATGCCCCATCGAAGCGCAGAGAACAAAGAATGAGGAAAGGCTACTGGATTTCAGGCAGTGGGAGGGGCCACAAGACAACTTTAGGAATGACTGCCCCATAGAAGAGTCAATGCTCCTTTCTTGTAGCTACAAAAGCAGCATACGAGTTGAGGCTCATTTCCACATAAAACTTGGTTCAGATCTAAGGAAATCAGGGAAAAGGAATGATACAGTGAATGAACAAAGCCGAAACATGCCATGAACAGAGTGAGTGAATTACAGCTGCAGCCTGAGAGGCCTGGCATGGTGAAAAATGGAAATTCTGGCATAGCTTTTTGGTCTTTCTGGGACCAGGGATAGTGGCCAGTTCCCATGGGGAAGGGACACATCCAGAACCATGAAATGGATGGCTGCCCTGGAATGAGCCATCCCATGGCAGAGGGACGAGTCTGGCAGAACGCTTTAGGGAGGGTGGCAATTTGGCATCAGGATCTCTGCCAAAACAAGGCAGCTCAGAAATGAGAGAAAATATTAAATATCAACAGAAAAGCTGAACCATGCAGGAGAATACAAACTGCATGGCAACACATGTGCCTGACTGGACCCAAGTCTGAACACCAGCTCTGCCCAGCTGTGACATGGGCATACCTGCTCCTCCTCCAGATGCAGGTTTCCTGGAGATGTGGCCTTGGCTGGGTGCAGGCAGATGTCGTGATCGGACTTGGGCTAACCTCTTGGAGTGTGCACAAGCTTGCTCTTGCCTCCACGATGACCGCCTAGGAAACTCACCTGCCTCTGGTCCAAACCAGCTCACGTGGATAACCTCCTTTGTCTCCGTTTCTTCCTCCCAACAAAATCCCTCCCAGTGAATGATTTTTCTTGTCCTGTTAGCTAGCCTGAGTTTTTCTACAGATCACGACTCCAACACACTTTAACATGTCTCCTGTCTTTGCGAAGACACTTGAGGAAGAATATTTACCTGCTCAGAGGTCTGCAGGGCCCAAGGACCTGTCAGCGATCTCGTGGCCACTGACTGCAAGGACACAATCAGCCAGATGAGAGCACCATATGGGGGCTCAGGAAGCAGCCTCCCATTAAAATGCTAAAAAAAGCTGGGTCATTATGAGTTAGAGCTGAGAAATGCTGTAGGAGGGAAGCTCAGAGCTGGGCCTGGGGGTTTGAGGGTATCAATGAGAGCAAAGACACAAGGCAAGCCTGAGTCAACACAGTGATGGATGTTCATTTAGTGAAAGATAACCAGCGACTGCAAATTCCATCATTCACAGAGAGAAGGAACAGTAGAGGAAAGTGAGGGTATTGCCCCCTGTCTCTCCTTTCTAAAAGGCTAGTAGGAAGAGTTTGTTCCAGTAAACAAGATGGAACTGTGAAGGCCTCTGCTTTCTTGGGAGAAAAGAAGAGATGAGGAGGGCACATCCAGATTCAGGGGCCTGGTTTCCACACCACCACTGCTCATACCTCTTCTTTCCCTTTTCCTGCCTTTTCCTCGTGGGTTAGGGCAGCATGTGCCCAAAGACATTAGTGCCCAGGACAATCCCTGCTGTGCACACACTGAAGGGTTGAGCAACTCTCCCAAGGAGAAGGGGCAGGTGAGGAAATGCTTCCCAAAGGGTACTGTGCCTGACAGCCCCCAGGGAGTCTCATTCAAATGCAGATTCTGATTTCTTAGGTCTGGGTGGGACTTAAGATCATCATCTCTTACAAGATCCCAGCTTCCAAAGAGATCCCTGTGAGGTTGGGGTTGACATATACACACTATTATGTATGAAACAGACAACTAACGAGAACTTACTGCATAGCATAGGAAACTCTATTAGTGCTCCTTGGTGATCTACATGGGAGGGAAAACCAAAAAAACAGAGGGGATATGTGTGCACATATGGCTGATTCACTCTGCGGTAGAGCAGAAACCAACACAACATTGTAAAGCAACTGTACTCCAATAAAAATTTTAAAAAGAATAAGCAAGACTGGAAGAGCTGGAATAAGAAGAAAGGGGGCTGGGATGTGAGTCCCATTTGTTCAAGGAAAGCCCCGCAAGGAACTGAAAGTTGATTTTTCAGGCAACAAGACCTTTAGGAGTTGACTTGATAGACAGAGTGGTGGGAATACTATGAGGTGTTAAGATAGTTTGGAGGGGTAAGATGGTACAGAGGCAGGGAATCAGGTGGGCAGTGTAATTTACATAAAAGAGAACCCTTGCAATAAGGTCAAAAGGCAAGGATTCTATTCCTATTTAACAGCCTATTTTAGCTATTTGGGTTTAATTTTCCCCTCTTGAAAAATGGGTATTGCTACTAGACTATATTAAGTCCTAAATATGCACTAAAATGTTAGTTTGGAATTCTGCTTATTGCAATTAATGTGAGCTTGAGAGGATAAAGAGTAAATTCAGCAGTGGTATCAATGGAATTCAGAGGAAGTAAAAGTATGAAACATTTTCAGAAAGTTGAAATGACAGGGTTTAATAAATAATTCTATATAAGGAGACATAAGGCAGAGAAGAAGGAAACTGATTTTGAGTTAATCCTGGGATACAATGACTTTGGTTCTCTCAAAAGACAGAAGTCATGGGATTTGGTGTAGGAGAAATATGATGAGTACAGATTAAGTAATATTGAGTAAACACTGAAAATGAATCATATGGGTGGGTCTGGAGCAGGGCACTCACACAACCCAGAGAGTAAATGTGTCCTGAAATTCTGCGCCCTGGACATTCCACTCACATCAAAGGAGCCCCAGCTCTCATCTGAGGGAGGACAGTCTGAAAGGCTGAAAGGGAGGAGGATCAGAAAAGAAGGGGCTGTAAAGTTGGGATGGCCCTTACCTTGGACCAGTCTCCCACAGTCCAGTGTGGAGGACAGTCTGTCCTGGCACAGGACTTACGGGATGAGGCCTTGGGTCCCTGACACAGTTCCTCGGAGAGATTCAAGAAGCTGCCATCCGTTAAGAGCTGCCGACAGGTGACCCTGCGATTCTGCGTTCCCCCTCCGCAGGTCCTGGAACACTGGGAGGACACAAGGAAGTGAGTCCACGGGCTCAGCCTTCTTTGGTTTAGTGAAACACAGGGCTCTTACGATCATAAGCCTGGCTGCCATACCTGCTGCCACTCTTCAATATGCCAGCTAGGAGGGCAGTCAAACTGGTTGCATGCTTGTAAGGCATGGGGCTTCTCATCTCTGCATTCCTCAGGAGGGGAGGGGGACTCCCCAGGGTGCAGGCAGTATACTTCTCGAGTCTGGATGCCAACACCACAGGTAGCTGAGCAGGGTCCCCAAGAGCCCATGTGCCACCTGTACCAAAACAACAAGTGGGAAAAATTCACTGTCCAGCGGACTCAGTGGGACACCCAGAGCATGGACAACTACACACTCCTCTCTGGACTTCCAGCCTCCACCCTCCATATCCACAGCATCAATAAATGCAATTAAAGTGCAGAAATACAATGTTTAAAGGCAAGACATGTCAGAAAAGTGCTTAAAGATTTCACCTGTCTAGGAAAGTCTGGAGTGAAAGAGAAGCAGATTTCTCTCCACCCTAGCCTACCACCATATATCATTAATAAAATCTTGGTTTTGTTTTGAATAGAGCCCCAAGGCAAGGATGATTTATATAAGGTGTCAAAAGAAATTTTAAATGCTTAAAAGCACACTTCAGGAAATTTTTAGGGCACCTGGATTCATTATTTGGAATATCCCTAAGAAAATTCTTTTATGTTAGGATTGGATTTACAGCACATATATATACATAATGTGATTCCTTTCCAATAAGATCTCGGAAAAATCAGGTTTTCTCATGAAACATCTGCAAAAATGAAAAACCAGGGCAGTTTCTCTGGGTACATATTTCCAAGTTGCCTTCAAAAATGATTCTCTCAATTCACGCTTTCGCCAGAAGTAGAGAAAGCCTGGCTTCTATAGCCATACCACCACTGGACCGTACCATTTGAAAAAGGCTCTGCCCATCTGATGGGTGAAAAAATTGTATACAATGATTATTTTAAAACTTGTAGATATTTAATTATTAGTAATCATGAAGCTTACCCCAGCTGTAAAATATTTTTCTAAGCTCCTGACTTATCTAAAAGAACATAGAGAATTTAATAATATATTTGAAATTTTTGATGAAATAGACATGCTATTAGGCAACTACAAAAAGTTCTTTTGAAGAAAAGGACTAGATTGTGCTAATTTTGTGATAAAGTTCTTACAAGTTTCTAAGAAACAAATGAATTCTTATGTTACTTAAAATGTTCCAAGTTAAAAAAGAGGATTAAAATGTAAAGAAAACATTTGATTACAATCTATGATTATATATTTTTAATTTTAAAAAGAGAGAAATAGAAATCCTAAGTAACAAGCATATTAATCAAAGGATTAAAATAATACACAGTATGAACATTCATTTGGAAGGACTGATGTTGAAGCTGAGGCTCCAATACTTTGATCACTTGATGCAAAGAGTCTACTCATTGGAAAAGACCCTGATGCTGGGAAAGATTGAAGGCATAGAAGAAGAGGGTGACAGAGGATGAAATGGTTAGATAGCATCACCGACTCAATGGACTTGAGTTTGAGCAAACTCCGGGCGATAGTGAAGGACAAGGGAGCTTGGTGTGCTGCAGTCTATGGGATCGCAAAGAGTCAGACACAACTTAGTGACTGAACAACAACAGCAACATTCACTGTGAACTGAACATCTGTATCCTTCTCCAAACTCCAAAGTTCCAAGAATACTTATATTATTTTCCAAATTGTTCTTATATTTTAATTTCTTTTGTAATGAATTCATCTTTCATTTGGCGAATCTGTGAACTATCTTCATTAGCATTAGATTTTTTTCATATGCTTTGGGATGTCATTTTGCAGGCTCAACTGGAAGGGGTTTTCTCTCCCTCCACTACCTTTAATCCTTTTCTCTGTCTCTTAACCCTTTCCGTCTACAGTTTGGTTTGCCGCCACTGAGCCCTCTGGGGTCCAGGCTAGAACCAGGTCCATGTGGACCATGTGGCACAGAAGCACTATGAAGATACGGACGACCCGACCGCTGAGCCAACAGGTAAGCCAGGGCTGGGTCTGCTCCCAGGGCTCTACTGTGTCTGTCCTTCATCTTCACAGGTGAGTAGCTTTGGGTAAACAAAGGCTTCTGGTTGTCAGCAGCAGCTTTTCGTCACAAAGAAGTAAGGAATATGGGTCCTTTTCCATGAATTAAAAGAAAGATGCTCAGTCTCGGTTACCCAGAGGATCCAAACTCTCACTGACCCCAAATGCTGTGGGGCTAAAGCCCAGAAGAACCATAGGTCCAATTCCACTCACCACTTCCCTCTTCTGTTCCTTTCCCAGCCTATATAACTACATGTTATTTTCACTGTTTCCTGGGTGTGATGTTTCCCTTATTTATACTGTAGCTATCACTGATCTGTATTTGGAGCAGAATGTGAAATTAAAACATGATCTGAATTGGAAGTATATTCATTAACCTATTAATTAGGCTACTAATATATAAAGTTCCAGTAGCTTTAGGTGTGAGGAAAATCACCAATAGTAGATACTCTGACGACAATCAGACCACACAGCTAAATAATTAGAAGGCTTTTGTTGCAGTATTAAAACAACTCAGCTTAACTATGTAATTTATTAGAAGCAACTTTGGGATGGTCAGTCTTTCAAGAAAGTATATAACTACTAGAATTGATCAGTGACATAAGGGACTGGAAGGGGAACATTCTTATTCAAGAAACAGGTAACAATTTCTTATTAAGAGACAATGAACACAGCATTTTTTGTTTTAATTCAAGACCTGGGTAACAAGTTGGTACAGAAACACTTTACTCTTGCCTTTTGTCTCCCCACCTCCCTGTCTAGCCATGATGAGTCCTGTCACAGAAGAAGAAGGCTCTTCTTGGACTAGTGGAACCATTATGTAACCCTGCCCATTTCTCTCTCCTGGAAAAAGCAAACTCCATAAATAGCAGACACTTAGCAGTTAAAGGACAGACCAAAGGGAGTAACCCCAGAAAAGCAAATAAACATACAACGCCCCACCTTGGAGAGTTCAGGCTAATACATCAAACACATTTGCCCCTGGGTAAATAAAGATCTACCGACTGTCCAACCCAATCTCACTGGTAAGTTTCACCCTGGGGTGATATTTTACTGCTATTGCCCTTGGAGTCAGTAAATATTTGTATGGAAAGTATTGTGCAACACCCTGTTCCTGTTATTCCTACACCACTGGTTTCTAGAACCTAAAACATTTTTGTAAACTTACCTTTATTTTGGCATCAACCCTTTGTCTCTGCTGGTTTTTTTCCAAAATAACTCTCAACCTTCAAAACCTTTATTAAACTTGCAACTTTGAAATGAGGAATAGTATTTCTCTTCACATAAAAACAGCCCCTTAATTTTGCAAAGTGGCCAAGATATATTGTGTGCTGTATTATTCCCAGTTTGAGAGCTCTGTGGGCAAGACTGCTGAGGCAGATTATGTGCAAGATCCCTGGCCGAGGCTGAGTGATGAGGAACATGCTCATGGGCCGGTGCATGGATAAACCAGCATGCTCCCTTCAGGAACATAAAGGGACAGTTTCTAGATCTGTAGTCAGATCTTGCCCCAATTTGGTGAGCAAAAGAAGGATGGCACTGCAAACCAAGCTCAGCCCTGCCTTGGCCTCCTCGGCAGGTCAAGCAGAGGCTGGTATTCTTATAACTAAAACAAACCCTGAGCATTTCAAAGGACTCATGAGTAGACATGAAAATAATTGCAAAAATACTCGACACAGCCCTGCAGATGTGAGTGAAAAATGCAACCTGAAGCATGACTCAACAATGAAAGACTAGAGCTGAAAAGAACCTTGGTGATGATAAAGTCTAACACCTTTGATCAACATTCAGATGAAGAAACTGGGCCCTAAGAGCCAAGGGACATGTCTGAAGTGTCCTGACGGAGGCAGAACTGGCCTCCACTCCATGCTCCAGATCCATTCCCACTTCTTTCTGCACTGTTAAGACACATCCCTATCATGTGTCCAAGGTTAGGATCCCATTTCACACTGTTGACTTCATATACCAGGGAGCAGAGAGCCGCTGATCACTTTTATGGGAGAGTATTAGCTTATTTCATGGATAAGGACTCCAGGCAGAGGGCCAAGGCCCAGAAGGCATGAATGAGCGGGAGCATGGGTCAAAGTGAATAATTCAATGTGGCTGCTAGGCAAGTTCAAGTTCCTCTGGGTGTGTGTGAGTGAGTGAGTGAGTGTGTGTGTGTGTGTGCACGCACACATGCGTTGTGATAAGGTGAGAGAAGTCATGACAGGAAACGTGGTTCAAGAACCTAAAACCACGGTCACCAAGGACTTTATCTGCTCTCATAGGTTGAATTGCTTTCTTCAAAATGAAGCTGAAGTCCTAACCACAAGAACTCATAAATGTGAACTTATTTGGAAATAGCATCTTTGCAGATGATAGAGTTAGGCTGAGGTCATCAGATGTTGGGCTCTAACTCAATAGGAGCAGTGACCTTATAAAAGGGGAAATTTCAGTGCAGAGACGTACAGAAGGAAGATGCTATGAAAACACAGGGGGGATTTCCCTGGTGGTCCAGGAGTTTGGCTAAGACTCCACACTCCCAATGCAGAGGGCCTGGGTTCCATCCCTGGTCAAGGAACTAGATCCCACATGCCACAACTAAGACCTGGTACAGCCAAATAGATAACTAAATATTATAAAAAGAAAACACGCAGGGAATCCCATCCACAAGCTGCTACTGCTCCTGCTGCTAAGTCGCATCAGTCATGTCCGACTCTGTGCTACTCTATAGACGGCAGCCCACCAGGCTCCTCTGTCCCTGGGATTCTCCAGGCAAGAATACTGGAGTGGGTTGCCATTTCCTTCTCCAGTGCATGAAAGCGAAAAGTGAAAGTGAAGTTGCTCAGTCGCATCCGGCTCTCGGCGACCCCAGGGACTGTAGCCTACCAGGCTCCTCTGTCCATGTCCATGGGATTTTCCAAGCAAGAGTACCACAGTGGGTTGCCATTGCCTTATCCCATCCACAAGCTAAGGACGCTCAAGCTATCAGAAGTTAGAATAGGTTTTCCCTCAGAGCTGTCAGAAGGAACCAACCTTGATTAAGGGTTTCTACACTCCCCATATGTGAGACAGTGAACTTCTGTTGTTTAAGCTACTCAGTTTATGGAACTTTGTTATGGAAGCCCAAGGGAACCAATACATATGCCAAAGTAAAGAATGTGGCTTTTCCACAGGGAAAAGGAAGTCACTGGAGGGTTTTTTGTGGGAGTTCACATGGCCATTCTCTAATTTAGAAGACAGTTTCATAGTCATACGTGTACATACGGATCAGAGCAGAAAACATTACAGGCAGGACTCAAATTTTATGATAAGTGGTCAGGGACATATCTAATTTGGGCTCAATCCAAGGACGCTTTCAGATTGACATGCAGGCAGGCTTTAAATGGGGGACACTCAGATGAATTATGGCAGGCTAGCTATTTAAGTTAAGGTAATTAATTAAAAACTTATAATTGATTTCAATATCTCCACCTTTGTTCTCCCCATCTCAGGGTTTTAGCAGTCTCTTTTAAGTGTACTTTTTTTTTTGGCCTTACAGTGCAGCATGTTGGGAATCTTAGTTCCCCAATCAGGGATCAAACACACATCCCCTGCATTGGCAGCTTGGAGTCTTAATCACTGGACCACCAGGGAAGTCCCTAAATGTAAATTCGATTTATCAAATGCTCCAATGGTTTCCTGGCAACTCTCAGGATCAAGTACAAATGCCTGCCATGGTCCTACTATGTCTGGTCTCATCTCCAGTCTGGTCTCTCATCTCCTGACTTCCTTTCTGTCAAGTTTCTTGAACACACCAATTTCTTCCTTTCCTCGGTACCTCTGTATATACTGTTCCTTCTGCCTAGAACACTCCCTCCTCTATGCTTCCCCTGGCCAACTTTCACTCCTCTTTTACATATTAGCTTACATAGAACCCTCAGGGAGGCCTCCTCTGAATGCCTGCACCCAATCCTCAGTCCAAACCAATCTATATTAGGTCCTTATGCAACTCTTGTTCTTGAGACTTTTTCTGTTTCTTTATAGCATGTATTATAATTTAAGTAATATACTTATTTATGTTTGTTTAACTCTTCCTCCTACTCCATCCCAAGACTCAAGTTGAAGGAACCAGATTAAAAACCTTGTAGAGCATGATTCCAATTTCTTGGGACAACAGGTTGAGATATTAAACTATGCTTTTCACCTCCTGCATTTCCCCTTGTCCTTCACCCTGGTCAGAGAGGTAGTTTCCATCTCACTGAGCCTCACCGGAGGGATGTGGTAGGGGTGAGGGGAGGAGAACAGAAACTAGCTTCTCCAAAAGTATCTAAATCATTGCTTCTGATATTAGATTAAGAAAAAACTGAGAAACCTAAGATGAGTAATTTGGATTCCTAAGGTTTTCAACACTTAACATGAGTGCTATTTCCCCTAAGATAAAGGGGATGTTTCAAATGGACAGAATCTCAGCATCACCTCCCATATACTTGATGTTCTTGGAGAGCTCCGGATAGACTTGATGATAAAGTGGGCATCCTGACTCCCAGTTAGATCAAACCTTCTGATACTCCTACCGTGTTGTGTCTTCTGCCATGTTCTACTAGTATTCTGGTGTGGATGACTCTGGAATTCAGTAAACCTGGGGGCGGAAGTGGGAGGTCTAGGGAAGAAGATTTCCCTATGCTGTTTCTGGGCCTTGCTCACCAAAGTAACTGTGTAGGTCTTCACTGCCTCGTCCCAGTTGAGCACAGCAAGACGGCTCTAACATAAGTCAAGAAGTTTCCTGGGGACTTCCCTAGTGGTCCAGTGGTTAAGAATCCTCCTTGCAATGCAGGGGATGCAGATTTGATCCCTGGTCAGAGAACTAAGATTCCACATGCCTCAAGCAACTAAGCCTACACAGCAACCACTGGGCCCTTGCACCACAACTAAAGAGTCCACGTGCCACAGCGAAAGATCCTGTGTGCCACAACTAAGACCCTATGCAACTACATAAAGAGATATATATATATATATATATATATATGAGTCCACATGCCACAGTGAGAGATCCCATGTGCCGCAACTAAGACCCTATGTGACCAAATAAAGATATATATATATGTATATATGTGTATATATATTTTAAAGAAGGAGTTTCCCATATTTCCTTAGCTGACAATATAAGTCAGAAATATAGCAATGGATATAAAATGTTATGCCTCGTTCCTTGTAGATGTGGTCTCCCCAAGGATGAAGCTGGCATCCTCCAAGACTGAGCAGGTTAGAGACCAAGACCCACAAAGAAAGGACCCATCTGCAGGACAAAGAAGCACGGATCTCCAGAATGCCCTCACTCACTGGATCCTCACCACCAGCACCCTGAAACCACCAAGGCAGGACTTTCTTCCTCACAGCCAACACATCTCATGGAATCAAAATCAGAAAGACCAAGAGACTTCCAGAAGCACAAATTATTTCCTGAATAACCATAAAAATCTATCTTTACTCCTGGATGTAACAAACATAATAAATGTCCTCAATTGCTTAGGATCCCAGACATAATTAAACTTACCTTTAGTGAATGCAGGTACCTAATTAAATGGGTGATAAAATTACTAAGAGGCAGAAAGAAAATCAGGCAATGAGGAAGAGAGGAGGTGACTAGGAATGAGCTTTCAACTTTTGGTTTTAAATATATCACAGAAGAGGGGTCAAGATTATACAGGTAAAGGATAGAGAAGAGAAAAAACTGGGGGCTGGATTTTGGAATGTCTTGTGAGAAACTAGTGATGCTGAGTTATAATCCTCTGTAGCTAACAATAGCCAGGGACAGAGAAACATGAGGAAAATCTACCGTTTCTTCTGATAAAAATCCCCAGCATCTTATAAGGACTTAAGAGAGGAAGCAGATTAATTTTTAAGGTCAAACTTTCAGGCCAAGGAGACCAAAAATAAGCCAACATCACCCACTCTTTGGGGACTCTTAACAGTACACCCCACAATCAGATCTCTGGTAGGTCAGTGGGAAGGGTGAGAACACACTGGTGTGATTTCTAGGTAACAAGTAGAGGATCACTCAGTCCACAAATATGGATGGAGCACCTTCTGTGTATCTGTGCTAACTTGACCTCAGAGCCTATGTTCCCTGATGTGGATTCATGCAAAGAAGTACCCCTGAAGGGACAGACATGAGACAACAAAACTGCTGAGCTCATGGCATTGCCAGCAGCAGCCAGTTCACATTCACTCATGTTTGATGCAAACAAAAGGCAGGGTAAAAGGGATTCCTGCTTAATCTAGCAGTATTCGTGTATTTTAGTGAGAATCTGGCTGGCACGTAGCTTGAACGGAGAAGGGAGAACTCTGATCTCCTTGGGTGACTCCCCCTTCAGCCTCAATACACATGCATGATTCTCTGAAGGGAGCAGAAGACTGCACGTACCTGGGCGGACAGGGCTCTGTGTTACAAGCCTGGCTCATCGCTGGAGGGCGGTGGACCATATCACACAAGGTGTCATTGACTGTCTGCTGGGTCTGAAGGTGTAAGCACACTGCAATGGCTTCTTGATGGCCTGGAGGTTGGAAAAAGAAAAAAAAATACGCAAATGACTTAGAATGACTCATTGTGGGGAAAAAAGAAAACAGGGTCTTTGAACCCCTCATTCTTAAGCCACTGCCCTTTTGACTATATTGCTTGCCTGCAGGATGCATTTCCGGGTCCACATGGAGCAGATGACTATGGCTTTCCCAAAGTCTCCCAGGCTCTATTATTTCCTCAGTCACTTTGTAAACTCCCAAATGGTCACTTTGAGGCATCAAGGACCACCCCTGAGACCCCATCCACTGTCACACTGATCTGCGTTTCAAACACACTCAAGGCCAGGAGTTCCTGCAAATGAATCATCCCCATGCTCCTTCCAAACATATACAATAATTTCCCTAAGAGGAATTTTCACATCAGCTCCTAAAGAATAACACTTTCTCACATGAGTGGAATCAAACAGTATTTATCCGCGCCTAATGTATATTGGACATGAGTGTGAGTAAACTCTGGGAGTTGGTGATGGACAGGGAGGCCTGGCGTGCTGCGATTCATGGGGTCACAAATAGTCAGACACGACTGAGCAACTGAACTGAACTGAACTGAACTGAATGTATATTGGACTGCAAGGAGATCAAACCAGTCAGTCCTAGAGGAAATCAACCCTGAACATTCACTGGAAGGACTGATGTTGAAGCTGAAGCTCCAATACTTTGGCCACCTGATGTGAAGACTCATTAGAAAAGACCCTGATGCTGGGAAAGATTGAAGGCAGGAGGAGACGACAGAGGACAAGATGGTTGGATGGCATCACTGACTCAATGGGCACGAGTTTGAGCAAGCTCCGGGAGATGGTGAAGGACAGGGAAGCCTGGTGTGCTGCAGTCCATGGGGTTGCAGAGTTGGACATGACAGCGACTGAACAACAAATGTATATTGGGATGCATTTTTAAGGTTACGTTATAGCATGGTTAAATTCATAGAGTCAGAAAGTACTTTGGTAGATGCCAGGGGAAAAATGGGGGTGAGTAAGTGTTAAATGGGGACAGAATTTCAGTTTGTGCTCAGTCGTGTCTAACTCTGTGATCCCATGGACTGTAACCTGCCAGGCCTCTGTCCACGGGATTTCTCAGGCAAGAATACTGAAGTGGGTTGCCATTTCCTCCTCCAAGGGATCTTACTGACCCAGGGATCAAACCCTTATCTCCTACATCTCCTGCGTTAGCAGGCAGATTCTTTACCACTAATGCCACCTGGGAAGCCCCTTTTGTACCCAAGGGGTTCCAAAATGCAATACAGCCAACCAGCTTCCCTGTTCAAATACAAACTTTCACAGGCACATTTCTCCTTTGAGGCTAGACAGGTCTGTCTGACTCCAAGGCCTAGTCTCAACCATTATTTTGTTTGTTGAGACAAATTAAAAAAAAAAAAAGACTATTGGGAAATCAGAACTGAGCAAAATATAAATCAAATTTTGACGGAAAAAATCAAATAAAAATTGTAATAGCAACCAACTATGCTATTTGAAATATGCAAATGTATTGTTTCATGCAAGAATGTGTGTTCCACATTGTGGTTCTTTTCCCAAATGCCATGTTTCAGTTCAACCATTTTACAATATTTCGCAGAATATAGTATGGACCAAAATATATATAAAATATATATTTGAGATGTTGAGTTCTTTTCCCTAAATTTCTTTGCTTTCTTCAGTTGTAATCTTATGCTCCTGGGCATAGTAGGTTGCAGTCTTAAATTTCCATGCATCTTCCAATGAATTTCTTTTTAATAAACACTAACTTGAAACATGAAGATACACTGCTACAACATTATAACTCAGGTTCCTCCCTATAAATGTTGAACTTTCTTACTAATTTTACAGGGACACAGATGTTCATTTTCTAGCAAGTTTCATTTCTTTTTAATCTGAGAAAAATGCAGTTGTCTTTCACATATATTCTAATTTATAACCAGAATTATTTACAAAATACACTTGAAAACTATTTTGGAACATGAGTGGGTGGATCTGAAAGCACCAAAGTTACCTCATTTTAACCATTTTTATGGAGTTTCACAATAGTTGTGACAAATTAAAGCAAGTTTACTCAAATTAACAATTTTTATGGAATTTCACAATAGTTGTGACAAATTAAAGCAAGTTTACTCAAAAGAATATAAAAGTTTAATGAGAGATTTAGGATACTTATTGAGGAGGAATGTATTTTCCAAAGATGGCCATGAGAATATCTCCCATCCCTCACACTGAACCTATGACATGACTTCACCACTTTCCACTTCAAGAGATTTGAGCAAACCTTTATCCTCAAAAGAAAAAAGTTATAAAGATAAGTTTACTTCATCTCATTTTTAACAAAATTTGGACAGTAATCACAAATACGCATTTAGAAGATATAAGATAAATCAAGTGTTGAAATTTCAATGCAATTTCTCTAATAAATCCTTTGGTAGCATGAGGCAACATTCTTCACTTCACAGTTGACTTCTGCAATGTCATAATATGAGGGTTATTTTATTTTTTGGCAAAAAATATCTAAAGCCTACATCAAGAAATGAATTCATAATTAAAGGGTAAAAACACAGACGCTAAGAGGGGAAGCAGAGCCAATAAATGAGCTAATACATTCTCTTTTGTTGGTTTAAGGTTAGTTCAAATTGGGTTTCTTGCAAATAAATCTTGACTAATTCAACATGCCAAGTAACATATCTCACACACACAAACAGAGTAAGAAATACTCGGAGCAACAACAACAAAAAATTCTACAGTCAGAACCTTTAAGGTGTTACCCAATATTTAATATAGTAAATTACTTTTTAAAAGTTGGAAAATGATTTGAATAAGAAAATTATGTTGATATAATAAACAAATGGCCTTTGGCCCTCAGAAATAGATGCAATATGCTTTTTTAAGCAAAGGAACATTAACAAAAATTGTTCCTATATTAGTCTATAAAGAAAACTGTATTAAATTCCATAACATAGAAATCATGTAGGCAATATTCCTTGACTATAATAGAGTACAACTATAAATGAAAAATAAACAATTAAACCCCCCAATCTGAACATCAGAATTTAAAAATAATCATTTCCGATAAGTGGCACTAGTGGTAAAGAATCCACCTGCCAATGCAGGAGGTGCAAGAGAGGTGGGTTCAACTCCTGGATGGGAAAGAGCACCTGGAGAAGGAAATGGCAACCTGCTCCAGTATTCTTGCCTGGAGAACCCCATGGACAGAGAAGACTGGTGGGCTATAGTCCATGGGGCCTCAAAGAATCAGACACGACTGAGTGACTGAGTGCACACACACAAAACTTCTAGGTTAAAAACAGTAACTAAGCTACACATTGTTTGACAAGAAAAAGGAGCAGAGGAGGGCTTAAAGCAACAGGAGATTAGAAGAACAACGCTTGATGATGCTATTAATATCATCAAGAAATGGATGACTTTTTCCCAAGAAAATCTAAATTATGAAACTCACTTTAAAATTCAGTTCAGTTCAGTACAGTCACTCAGTCATGTCCAACTCTTTGCGACCCCATGGACCACAGCATTCCAGGCCTCCCTGTCTATCACCAGCTCCTGGAGTCTGCTCAAACTCATCTTGATTGAGTTGGTGATGCCATCCAATCATCTCATCCTCTGTTGTCCCCTTCTTCTCTGCCTTCAACCTTTCCGAGAATCAGGGTCTTTTCAAATGAATCAGATCTTCCCATCAGGTGGCCAAAGTATTAAGAGTTTCAGCTTCAACATCAGTCCTTCCAATGAATATTCAGGACTGATTTCCTTTAGGATGGACTGGTTGGATCTCCTTGCAGTCCAAGGGACTCTCAAGAGTCTTCTCCCACACCACACTTCAAAACCATCAATTCTTCGGCACTCAGCTTTCTTTATAGTCCAACTCTCACATCCATACATGACCACTGGAAAACCCATAGCCTTGACGAGACAAATCTTTGTTGGCAAAGTAATGTCTCTGCTTTTTAATATGCTGTCTATGTTGGTCATAACTTTCCTTCCAAGGAGTAAGCGTCTTTTAATTTCATTGCTGCAATCACCATCTGCAGTGATTTTGGAGCCCCCCAAAATAAAGTCAACCACTGTTTCCCCATCTATTTGCCATAAAGTGATGGGACCAGATGCCATGATCTTAGTTTTCTGAACATTGAGCTTTAAGCCAACTTTTTCACTCTCCTCTTTCACTTTCATCAAGAGGCTCTTTAGGTCTTCTTCATTTTCTGCCTAAGGGTGGTGTCATCTGCATATCTGAGGTTATTGATATTTCTCCTGGCAATCTTGATTCCAGCTTGTGCTTCATCCAGCCCAGCGTTTCTCATGATGTACTCTACATATAAGTTAAATAAGCAGGGTGACAATATACAGCCTTGACGTACTCCTGTTCCTATTTGGAACCAGTCTGTTGTTCCATGTCTAGTTCTAACTGCTGCTTCCTGATCTGCATACAGGTTTCTCAAGAGGCAGGTCAGGTTGTCTGGTAATCCCATCTCTTGCAGAATTTTCCACAGTTTATTGTGATCCACACAGTCAAAGGCTTTGGCATAGTGAATAAAGCAGAAATAGATGGTTTTCTGGAACTCCCTTGCTTTTTCAATGATCCAGCGGATGTTGGCAATTTGATCTCTGCTTCCTCTGCCTTTTCTAAAACCAGCTTGAATATCTGGAAGTTCACGGTTCACGTATTGCTGAAGCCTGGCTTGGAGAATTTTGAGCATTACTTTACTAGCATGTGAGATGAGTGCAATTGTGTGGTAGGTTAAGCATTCTTTGGCATTGCCTTTCTTTGGGATTGGAATGAAAACTGAGCTTTTCCAGTCCTGTGGCCACTGCTGAGTTTTCCCAATTTGCTGGCATATTGAGTGCAGCACTTTCACAGCATCATCTTTCAGGATTTGAAATAGCTCAACTGGAATTCCATCACCTCCACTAGCTTTGTTCGTAGTGACGCTTCCTAAGGCCCACTTGACTTCACATTCCAGGATATCTGGCTCTAGGTGAGT